AGATCCTTTGATTTTGGACTGGCTGAACTCTCTGCCTACAGTATAAAAATATAGATTTAGAAAGAAGGAGGAGGTAAAAATCATAATCTTATGGATCCTTTAGTACTCTGAAATGTAAAGGTTTAATTTTTAGAATAATCATCCTTAAAGGAAACTAATCTACAGGCTTTAACTTTGGGAGCAGGACATTACTACTTTATCATTTAATTAATAGTTACCAATATTACTTAATTAATAATTACCAAGAGCTTGTTTGTAAAAAAAAGGCCTTCTGGAGCAATCAAACTAATTATAAACGTGCAAAAAATATCTATAGTTTAAAAAAATCCCCTGCATTCAATCAAAGCAAACAATGTTTAAGATGGAACCAGCTCTGTGAGACATTTTGCCGCCCAGCACAACTATTGTTGCCTCAAGTTCTCCTAAACGGTTAAAATGTTCTTTTATGTTCTTTTTTCTGAATTTGCCTTCTGCATTTATTTATTTACTCAGTTAGACTATGTAAAAAACTGTTCTTATTTCTAAAAAATTAACTGTATAATTAGTTTTTTAATATTTTTTGGATGTTATAAATAGAGAATTCTTACTTACTTCGAAGCGTTGCCATCCTGCCGAGACCTTTTGCAGCTTCTTTGTACTCCTCATTAAATTCTAGCTCCCCCCTGCCTGCGGTGCTAAAATATTATGTAGTTGAAATGTGCAGAGCTGCAGAAATAAAAATTAAGTCTAGTTTTCTTGAAATTAGTCTTTTGTTTCTAGATTTTTATCTGAAAAGTACAATAATTTGGCAATGGACTAAAATTATTTATGTTTAAACCAAAAACCAAAAACTTTGATAATCTCTAATTATCTTATTTTACCTTATTTACCTGCTCTAATTAAGGGCAAATATTCTTATTTTAAGACAATTTGACTTTTTTAGAGCAGTTGTGCAGTGAGAAAACCACCTACACGCCTGTTTCTGGAGGTTTTCTGGGACACTGGGGGACCTTAGACCTCCAGAAGTAGGTGAGGTGAGGAGGAGGTTTCAGGTAGAACCGCTGCTCTTTCACATCTAAGTTGCTGAGATGGTTGATCTGATCAGAGTACCTCCAGTTTAGAGGTTTTCAGCCATGTTTTCTGTTGTAAAACATCTCCAGGAAGAGCTGGGCATCACTACTAGGTTTCCCTCTGGATCTGTTACCACTTTTGCATTATTCTAAAATTTTCTACTGTTATTCTAAAACTTTAACTCAAACCTTTATCTCAAAGAAAGCCTGTTTGATTTTTATTTTTCAGAGTGCAAATGAAAGCTTCTCTCCTTCAGGTTTTATGTGAGAAAACTTGATGTTCTTTCATATGGTTTGGGAAGTGGCGTGGTGATGAACTCCTGAAAGGTCTAAAAGGGGGCAGAGCGTGTGTGTTTATTGAAAGGAAGCACAGCGCTTCTCTTCAGCTGGAAATCATCTGCCTCTCCTGCTGCTGTGACTGAAATAAGACGAGCCTCTTCAGCTGGAAACGTCCTCAAATCATTTCACGGTAGAAAAATCTATGGTGCCTTTAAAACTGAGGACGTGGCTGCCTCTTTGGGGAGACGGAGCGATAAGCGTGACCCTCCGGGTGTGAGAGCATCGCTCGGCTCCTCCGGATGATCCGATCTGCTCCGTTTTTCCCTCTCGTTGCTTCTCTCTGATTCAGGTAATTGTCTCCTTACAGAACTCCGCAGCCGTTCATCCTCAGCCAGCCAATCGCACACACCTCGCCCCGTGACATCAGCGGTGGGCCGCCCTGCCAGATAATTGCGGTTGCCATGCCGACGGGCTGTGGTTACAATCGTTGCTGTCTGTAATAAGCGGCCTAAATGAGATCGATGTGGAGTGAGTGTTCTGTCACGAGGAGGGCTTTGTGAAGCGAGCGGCTGCGGCTTCGCACCCTGATCAGGATGTGGTGGCAGCATGAAAACAGCAGCTCATTTAAATTCCTCCCTAAGATGCTGCCGTCACTTCAGGGTCTTCATATTCAAAGCAGGAACTAGCAGATGCATTTAGGGACAACGTGGAACTTAATGAATTCAGAATTCAGGAAGTGTTTCCACTTAACATGCTCTATTTACAGGAGTGGTTGAATATTTTACAGACAAATTAAAGTTTCTGCGGCAGCTTATTTATTCATAAGAACAAATGACCCTTTTATATTCAAGGAGGCATTTAAAAAGGAAAAGGAAGGAAGTCAGGTTTTGGGTTTTGATGAGATAGTTTCTGAATTTTGCTTCATATTTCTTAAGATCATGTTTTGGTCGAGCTTTTGTCTGGTTTTAAAGGGTCATAATCATGTTATCTTCCTCTACAAAAACACCTCATAACATAAGGTTGTATACACCAAGTATTCCTCCTGATAGTGAGAATACACAGCTACTTAATAGAGCCTGACCGTTCTGCAGCACCTCACCAACTGATATTCATTAAAGAAACTGATCTACAGCAACTCTAATGGTGCGTTCACAACAGACGCATTTTGAGTGTCAAAAAAGCGTCCAACGCCTCAATTTGGACGGTTGTGGGTTTTAAAAACAGACACGCTGAGCTGCTCTGTTCTTTTCCATTTAATCTAGAGAGTTGCGTGGCTTTGTTTGCTTTGACAGAATAGAAAATGATCAATTTTATGATGCTTTTAATCAGGCAGCAGTGCTGGAAGTCCCAGGTGAAAGCTCTCTGGAGACCCTCAAGGTGTTCAGGGATTTCCTGCTGCCATTCGTAGTATCTGTAAGAGAATATAAAGAGTTTTATGAAGTGTGGTAAAACTGCAAGTTTCAGCATATAAAATTAAATATTTTTCATTGGAGTTTTTGACTATTTCAGATAAGGTAAAGCAATAATGATCAGAGCTAATTCATATAATATTTAAATATATTTAGTTTTATGCTAACAGCCCTGCAGAACTGATCACAGGCAGGATGTCATCTGTCTCCCAAACAACTCCTGGATCAGGTTCTCTGATTGGTTGATCCTCAGCATCCTCTGCTCTCAAAACTCGCAGCTCCCGACGCTCAAATAGTCCCTCTGGACCTCTCGATGCTCCTCAATACTGTCTTCTATAGACCATGCAGATAAAGCAGAAACCCTGATGCTAATAAAAAGCTTTGCTGTGAACGCGCCAATAGTTCAAGTCAATCCTCCCGTCCGCCTCCTGTCAGAACATTAAGGTTCCTATCAAACGCAAACAGGAACTTTGCATCAAAATGTTTCTATTAAATATATGATGTTTCTCAATTCACAACAACGCGAGTATGAACTCGGCTCCTCGTCAAATATGTTCTTGAGAAGAACATAGAAAAGTCTGGACTCGGGGAGAACGCAGCATAAATATGGGTCAATGGGAACAGAAGCATACTCGTGACTTCACCACACACTCGACTCGTCTGGAGCTTTTTACTTCCTGTTATTGAGAGTCTGTAGATAATAATAAATTCTGACTTTTTTTATTTAGTGGTGGAATAATAATTAACACATTTTACTGAATTAAACAAAAAAATCACCATCAGAGCCAGCGGTCCTTCACACACAGCTATGCAGAGAGAGAGCTGCTGCAGACTGGCTATGTTAGCCCTTGCTGTGGTTCGCCTGGAAGGTCCGCTGGTTGACTCGTTCCTCTCAACATTGGAACTTTTTTTGTAAATTACGCATTAAATCGCATTAAGTCTTATTGTTTGTGAATTGGAACAGTATTAGGGCCGAGGCTGAAAACGTTTTCCGAGCACACGAGAACGCACAAGTGCACATCCTGAGAAACGGCCATAATGTTTAACAGTCACAGACCAAAACCTTTTATTGGAATTAATGCAAATTGACCTGGTTAAAATTCCCCCAGTGAGTGAATTATTGATGAGCCCTAAATTAAATCTGGTCTTAAGTAGTCTGCAGGATTTTAGCAGCTGTTTCATAAAACTGTCTCCCTTCTCTGTTCATATCAATTAAGCAGTTTATTTATAATGTGGTTTGTACACAGACTGTAGAGACTAAAGTAGTATTTTATCAATAAGGATGTTTACGAAGGCATCCATCAACTTAGCAGCTCCATCTGAATTCTTCTATAGCTTTAGCTTCACTGCAATGAACACCATCATTCATTCTGCAGCTCTATTCCCATCTCATCACTCTTGGAATCCAACTTTTTTTTCCCCACATTGGATCTTGGACTTTTCTTAATTATTTCATAACTCCTCTGGGATGTGCTAACTGGCTTAGCTAATCACTTCCATGTTTTCCTCCTGCATGCATGCTCAGTATCATGCCTCAGTTATTGTAAATATACACATAAAACACAAAATATCAAATGATACACAACCTTTCTAAAAAACTTTGTATGAAACCAGAGTGATTTACTAGTGTTTAAAAAAAAAACAGCTATTGAGTCAATCCTCATGTCTCGGCTGTATATCCAAATATTCTATAGTCAGATCGGAGGCTGTCTGTCCAACAGCTGAACTTTAGCCCAAACTGAGTCATAAACAGAACAATTATCCCCAAAAATTGCAGCAGACTGACTGAGGAGAGGAATCAGTGGCCTAGTCAAAGTCTAGACCTCAGCTTACTGATTGGGATCTAAGAGCCGAAGCAACGCAGGGAAGAAGAGAAACCTGAACTCTAAATGACTGAACCGACTTCTTTCTGTGATTGTAGCCCCCATCTTCCTCCTCCTTTCCCTACCAATCACACCATCGTCATAGCAACTCCTTGTCTCTCCAGCTCGGTACCAATCAGCCTCCTGCTATGAAATGTGCGGAAAGTAAAGTTTCCTTCAGTGACTGAACGTAAAACGGTTAGGGATGACAGCGGTAGACTCCTCTGAGCCAATCAGAGCTCATCTTTTTAGCTGTTTTTTGACCTCATTCCAGCGCCTCCTGCTGGGCAATCAGTGACACTTTTTAAGGAAGATGTTATTCTAAATCTGTTGAATAGTAAATCACAGTTCAGTACATTAAATTAATAACAGGTTTCATCTGTCTCCTCTACATCCCCCAGTGCTCCTATGTGCCCCCCTGTGAGAGGGACAACCAGAAGAACAAAGACAACGTTCTGCTGTGGGAGGATTACTTCACCAAAGAGGTCAGCAGCCAGTCCTTCACCTGCTTCTTCAACCAGCAGAGGAGGTGAGACACAAACACACACACACACACACGTCTATTTCCAGGTGTGAGACGGACAAATTGGAAGCAGGAGGATGTGTGAGGGTGTGAAAACTCCTCGCTGACAGATCGATCTTACCTCAGGAGATTACAGACACCCAGCTTTAAGGAGACGTCCTCTACAGCTTCGAATTAGACAACATGGCTTTAGGAAAAGCAAGTCTTTCTCTGATATTTCTTGGAAAATAGTTAATGATTAAGATGCCGTGCTCGTTCGTTTTCCTGTTACGGGCATATCTGTGGGGTTTTTTGTGTTTGTTTTTTACCAGTCAGGGGTTCTTAAAAGGTGCAGTAGGAGATCTTTCCTGATGCATTTTTTCCATGTGGCTTAAAGATCTCCCCTCAGCAGTGAAATAGAAGGTCTGGAAGTGAAACTAAATAAATGGCCCCCGCTACAGTGAGAAATCAATGAGTAACGTCCACCATTCACAAAACACGGTCCATTGTACACTATTGGTTCCTGACACGTCATGGTCTTGTGCTTGTCCCTCCCCCCATGGCATTCCCTGACACATAAACGAATCGACCCCCAATGCTCTTACAGGACGCCATGTCTGGAAGCTAGCCACTGTTATGCTACGTTCACACCTAAAGCAGCAAGAGCAGCAAAAAGGCGCCTAATGCTTCATTTTTGATGCTTGTTCAAGTTTATCTCTGAAGCGTGGCTAAAGCATTTCTGCAGCTCTGGCTGCGTGGTGGAAAAAGAAGGTCTGATGCGCATGGAGCGGAGCTACCCTATCCTTTCAGTTCAGTTCAGTTTATTTATATAGCACCAATTCTACAATATCTAAGGAAAATCAGTTGATTGCATTGACTCATTGACTCTTCAGCAATCCCTCACACTAAGCATGCTTGTAGCAACAGTGGAGAGGAAAAACTCCCTTTAACAGGAAGAAACCTCCCTTTCTTTGCCTGTAACAATGGCAGCTATATTTGCTGTGATAAGTGGGTAAAAAGTAGTTTGAATCTATTTTGAAGAGAGAAAGTCCACCTGAAAACATGGTCACTGCAGTCAGTTCATCCGGATTACCATCCTGCCTTCAAATATTATTTCTCTGTCAGCCACTCAGACCCCCGTACACCGGCGGTGTACTGTCACTATGAATCCCATTCATCAGCAGCCTCTGGCCCGTTTGCCGTGGCGGCTGGAAGGCGTTTTTCATGTACGTAATCCAAACTGCACGCACCAGGATAATAAAAGTGAACATGTTTTACTGGCAGATTTTGGCATTTCAAGTTAATTTAGGAGTTAATAAACTGTTTCAGAGGAGTGATCATAGCGCTCTGCATCATCAGTGCTGCCTGTCTCCCTGCCAGCTCCCAGATCAGCAATGTGCCACTTCAGCTTCTCTTGACGCGCCGCAGGACCTCAAGCTGCTTTGCGATACACATCAACCATTGACTTTGCATGTAAACTAGCTGCTCTTGCTGCCTCTGCTGCTTTAGGTGTGAACGTAGCATTATGTTGTTGTTAGCTCGTGTCACGAGCACTTAGCTTGTTTCGTTCTCGATCTCATCTGAACACCTCGACAGACAGCAGGAGCGTTCACGTGTTTTGAAGGCGTGGTTTCAAGGGCTGGTCTGAAGGGAGAGGAATGGTTGTGTTTGTTCAAAATATAGCTTGCTGGAACCGTTTTTCCAAGATCTCCTACAGCGCTTTTAACATCAGAATGATAACCAGTTAGAGGAACATCAAACTGGCAGTAATGGAAGCTGGTTGAAGGGCTGCTGATGTTTGTTCTTGTTGTTTTGTTTTTATAAAACTTATTTGTAAATCTATGATTTTCAGCCTGGTCTTTACATCAGATAATGGTTGTTTTAACAAATAAGTGAGGCCATGTGGGGGGTTTTTCTCAGTGTTTCTGGGTTTATTCTGTTTTATTTTAAGTCTGCAACCATAAACTGATGAGACTAAGAAAAACTGAAGAGCATCTTCGGTGCGTCAGCTCTATCCTCCTATTATTCAGTCCATTCTTACCTGTGACCTGGGCTGCTTTTATTTTTATCTCTGCAGCAGGACGAGGACTCTGTTTCGTAAATGAGGGCCCAGAGGGAGCTCGTTGATGCTCCCTTCAGCTTTGTGGTCATTTGGAAGAGAAACTGGAGCAGTCCACTGCTCTTTATTTAAAGATCTGGAAAAACACACACCTGGGCTTTGGGTCTATGTTTTTCTACAAGGGTTGTGAGGCTAATAACCTGAAAATTAACGATGCAAGGACACATTTTGCTTTGTAGAGGGCTGCATTCTGAGTTAAGTGTAGATCTGAAAGCAAGAAATTCATTATTAAATTCAAACTCTAAATTTATTCAGCAATATTTCTATGCAGTGAGACTCGACTTGGACTAATAGAGAGTAACAGGAAGTCAGTACATAAGCTGCTGTTGGTTTTATTGTAAAATGACTTACATCTGACAACCTCTCTGCAGAACTAGCTGCAACATTACTTCCTGCTGGAAATATCAAAATAAAAGCACCTTGTTCCAATTCAGAAGTTCTCAGGTACATTTTATGTTTTCTATGTTGTCATTTATACCTTAAATTGAACCTTCTTTACTAAAAGAAATAAGAATAAACATTGTTTCTTTTTTATATCGCATAATTGTGTGTTCAAAATTCTAACAGGGCAAATATCTCATTAATTCAAATGTCAAAGTAACGTGAGTAAAAGAGAAAACACAAAGGACGTTTAGCACGTTAGCAAAGGAAAGATGGCTGCGGGTGTAGCACGCTCCTATGCCCAGGTTACTTGAGTGACAGTTTTCTGTTCTGATCAGTGCTGATATCTAAACTAGCAGGATAAAACGCTTTCAATGCCCAAATTTATGATATGTCGTGCCTTAAGTTCTAATTTTATCTCCTGTTCGGAGCAAAAAACAGGAAAAGAACATCCAATTTCAAATCAGTCAGTAGTTCCGCATAGTAGTGACAAGCTAACACGCTAACATTTCTAATCAGATGGTGAAGAGACAGGGCTTTAGGTAAAAAACCAAGAATATATAACTGATAATTTTAATAACTTTGCCATTTTAGAGGTAGATGATCTTTAAGAGATCAGTGCAGATTTTTCCTGTATGCTGCCACAGTTGCTAGGCGACTGAATTATGCTGAGATGAGGGTAGGGATGGATGCCGTGAGTTGGACCGTCCAAATTCCTTCATTGTTGATGCTGTCTTTGAAGGACCTGAAGAGTGTTTCATAAAACTGATTTAGTTCAGAAGTCAGGCTTAGGTGGCAAAGCCTGGCTTATTTTGTGCATAAGGGTTTAATTATACTGTCTTGCTGTTAGTCTGACTCAGTCATTATGGCATTGACCCAGTAAACTGAGCCTGGGCGGGACCGGGTTTAAGGCTGACTTCGGTGAATGCAGATATGCCCCGCCCCCTCCGCAGTCACTCTGCTGCACCTCTCTAAAATTGTAGGTGACCGCAGACAGGAGGCCTCTGATTGGTCAAATCTATGTCCGCTCTACACTATGCGTATTTCCTGTTTGGTACCTTACCGGCTTGTTTTGTTTGTGTGACCACCATTGTGGAAAATGACTCGTGAAGATGGACCAGCTAGAAGAGCAAGAACGCTTTTTCCACCTGGATTCCTGCTCTTTTTCGCCCTCATTGTCGCACAATCTTGCCCCCATTTCCTCACTGCCTCGGCCGTATCTAGACCCACAGCTAGTTCCTGATTGTCCCTCGTGCGTTGTGGCGTGGAATAACATAGCACAGACTATGCTTTAATATTGGGCATAAATCTAAAATATCTGCGAAAAGCTCCCTGCAACACACTGCTGCAGGGAGGATAACCAGCCGTTTAGATCTGACTAAGCGTAAACTGTCTTTGTTAAATCCAGCTACTGAGAGTGCTGTAAATGACTGAAAGGGCCTCAGCTTTTTTCTCAAATGGAGCCAGATATGGCAGCATGTTATAAAGTACCAAAAAAATTTCATTTCCTGCAGTAAAATATTACACACAATTTTTTTGTACTTTATATATTTTCCTACACAGTAATGGAGTTTATAAATAATATGTATAAAATATGTTGGTTTGTTGTTTTTTTTTGCTCAGGATCTTTTTGTTGATAAAAAGATAGTGTGATGCATCAGGGCTACCCTTCTGGGGGAGGTTTTTGTTCTTAGTTTGCACCTGTTAAAAGGTGTGTATCTCACCACTGGTGTTACTGAAAGAGTTAAATGTGGGGAAATGTGTTAAGTCTGTCGACTGCAATGCTTTGTCATTTTTCACTCCAAGCAATATTCTTACTGACTTGAATCTGATGGAATCTAAAACTAAGAGTAAGATCTCCTTTGACTTGATCTTCACGAAAAAGCACTTCTGTTTGTTTCTTTCAGTTAGAGGCTGACATTAAGTTCAAATGAAAGTAGTAAATATCACTTTTATTTTAAATATGGCTCTTGAGACAATGTTCCTCATGAAGAATTTAAGAATGAACACTTTTAATCCCTCAGCAATGACTTGCCATCAACTTTCCTCGGTTTAATTGATGGTAACAGGTTTTCCCTTTATTATTTAATTTAGTTTTGATTGCTTTCTACCTAGACGTCCTCTTGGTGAAACCCACTAATCGCAGCCTTAGATGCTAGTTTAAGTTAAAACCAAGTCAGGCTTTTCTGAGCAAGTTTTATAAAAAAATCCCCTGAATTGGGACGCATCCATACCTGTGAGAATATTTTGCCAGGGCTGCCCTGATACAACTTTTTAATTTCCAATAAGATTGATATATTGCAGCTTTGAGAATTGGCTGATACCAATATTGACCCGATAGCACAAATCGCATCGGCTTTTATAGCTTGTTTTATATTGTAGAATGTTAGAAAAGTCTTGATCAAGTTATATCTCTAAAACGGGAAACAAAGGTCAACTACAAAAGGTATGAAAACAACTGACGCATGTAAAATGAACCAATGAGTTGAAGAATCTTTTATGGAAGTTTGTTACAGCATGATTTTAGTTGTCAGCCAATAATATCCAATATCATTTTTTGGGCTAATATGGGACCAATATATGATATTAATATCAGATCGGAACATCGCTATACTTTGCAATGACTGGTATAATGTTTTTAAACGTTTTTTAAAATACACCATGTACCGCTAACGTCATGCACCTGGTACATTTGGAGCTTTAGATTTCAAGTTGTTTATAAATATGAATAGATTGAAGATTATCCAGCTATGCTTTATTAATTAAACCAGAAGTCTCAACAGGGGGTCTGCGACCCCTAAGGGGTCCTCAGAGGTACTGCATGGGGGTCGTGAAAGTTTTGGTTGATTAGACTTTTTTTTACAGTATATTCCCCGCTGCAGTTTTTTCCACTAATTGAAATGTGTTTAAATACAGATTAACATGAATTCAACACACTGTAGTAAACAGATAAATGGAGGCAGAAGATGTCTTTCAGTCATCAATGCACACATTCAGCGACACACAGGAGCTCTTTCAATCTGGGCACCGTTTCATTCACAACACCTGACCCATCAACCAGGAGTCCGAATCAGAAATACTTTAATAATCCCAGGGAGGAATTACTTTCGTTACATTACTCCCTCAGTAATAGAGTGACTATGGGACCAGTTAGAACACAATTTCATACCATATATAGAATTAGGGTGTCCTGCATCATCAGTTTTGGGGGTCCTTGGCCTGGAAAAACATTGAAGACCCCTGAATTAAACTGTTCAAGCCGGATTTTGGATTCAGTCACTGGAGATTAGAGACGTGGGGAATGGTGTCACTGGAATGTGATGCATTAGGAAATAATTATTAGTGAGAAATTCTGAACTAAAAATCTATGAATTACTGCAAACTAGATTTCTGCCCATCAACAGAGCAGCTCTGTTCTGTTACTGTCATTAAGTCAAATTTAGATTCAGCCTCTACTGCTGACAAACTTCCTTAGTTTTTCCTTAACTGAGCCTTTTTACTCTACTTTACTCTCTTCCTGCTTTGAGAGCCGCAGTGTTCGTAGATATGTCTGCCTGCTGCAGCACAGTAAACGTTCCAGAAATGGTCTGAAAGGTTGCAGTAGCTGGATGGAAACATGTTCTTCTGTGCACAAAGTTGGAGATACATTTACTTGCAGTGGTTTGGATCTCATAAACAGTTCTGAACAATAACTGAATCCAGTTACTGTGAAAGGAGAACATTATTAATATTTCTGACCTTTTCTTAGAGGCACGACTCATTACCGTGGTAACCGGCTGAGGTGAGGCATGCTGCTAGAGTTATATTATAGAAATTAGCTTCACCTTTTGCTCATTAGATTATTTCTTTGATTGGACCTCTGGAGATTAATCATGTTGGACCAAAGGAGGTGGTGCTGTTTCTTCTTAACTGGACCTAAGTTCAAAAATACTAAAAAATATCTTCAGGATATTGAACCTCTGTTGGTGCTAGAGATATATGTATGAAGTGTTGTTCTATTTTTGTTGCAAAGAAGACATTTTTTAAACACAGAGGAAACTTTAAAAAAAAATTAAACTCTTTGCTGTTTTCTCTTATTTGATTTTTTTTAAGGATTTTTTTTGGCAGTATGATAAATTGTATTCTTTAACTGTTTGTTTAGCATATTGAGTTTTATGAAGTACCTACTTTTTAAATAGGTTTTCCCAGATCACAGTCTCCTCCCTTCTGGGGGCGGGCTTTCCTCTGCAGCGAGGAGCAAAGATGCATTTCTATTGGTCTGCTGGACGTTAACAACATTTGTTCGAAGTGACGCAATTTAAAAGAAAAATGTAATTCTTAAATCTCAGTCTGTAAAACAGAAATTAAAAAAACTAAAAGAATTCAAAGCATAAAAAAACCAAGTAAAAAAGTTTATTAGAATTTGAAAATAAATTAAATATCAAAGACATTTTCGAAAAAGAAATGTAAAAATGTAATTTTAAGAAAACAGCAAAGTGTTGATCAAGAAACATATTTTATTATTATTACATTTTCATTTTTATTTCCATTTACAAAATATTAAAAAAGTTTTTAAAATTTCTATTTAATACATCTGTCTTCTTTTCGTGAAAGAATAATGTAAAAAAAATTGTTTATCTGTTAGTAAAAGTTTAATTGACCCTCATAGATGTCCTCAGTGGTTTAACATGGTTTAAATTACCATTTAGCTGTGAATGTTTATTTGTTTATTCTACACATTCACAGTTTAAGGGTCATTTATTGAACCCTGTTAACCTAAATGATCTGGGAGCTGGAGTGCCCTGAAACAATCTAGAGGTGCCCATACAGAAAGACCTCGGGCCTTGGCCCGCAGCACCATGCAGCCCATTAGAATCCTACTGTTCAGAGACCAGTGGTTTTCTGTATGTTTTTGATAGAACCAGTTAAGGACTGGTTGTATGTTTTTGATAGAACCAGTTAAGGACTGGTTGTAGATCTGGAACTACATGGATGGGAAATCTAAAACATCTGTTTGTCTCTCTCTTTTTTTTAAATAAAAATAAATCATAAGAGCTTCTTGCTCATACATAGTTTTATTTTTCATTTTCTTTTCTATTTTGTGCAGAGTAAAAACTCCCCTTAATGCAGTATTTCATTTCATTTTTTTAGTTTTCTGGTACTCATAGATGTTATTTGATATTCAATAGACTGGGATTTTGATGATGATGAAGAGGCAGACATGCATAGGTCTGGGTTGGAACCTCTGTTTGGAGGAATAACGACTCCATGCACGCGGCGCCATCACCCCCGATGACACTGAAGGATGAAACAATCACAGCTGTGTCACTAACTCGTCAATCCTACGATTCATTTCCTGTTTGTCTCGTTTTAGGCCCGACGACGTGTTGTGGCAGCATTCCAATGACACCAGCGTCCTCCTGCACTGCGTCCTCTGGCCAATGGTGTCCCTCCTTCTGGGCACACTTATTGTGCTCCTGACGGTGTGCGCGCGCTCCCTGGCCGTGAGAGCAGAGGCGCTCCAGAAGAGGAAGTGTTCCTACGAGGTTTGCCAGGACTTGTCTATCACCAGTTCAGACCGCCGCAGGAACAAGCCCGGGGACCTCCTATCAACGAACTCTGACCCCGAGCTGTCATCGCCATCAAGGACCCTTCCTCTGTTTGCAGTGCCAGTGAGGCGAAGGGATCGGGAACATTAAGGCACAGAGGAAATTTGATTTCTTAACCACAGGCTTTGAAACGCCGATGGGAGACGGAGAAAAGCAACGTCGCCATGAAGGGTTGGTTTGATCTCCAACAGGATGAAGATGAGGGTAAATCCACTCTGATGCCTGCAGAGTTCACCAGAAACACAGTAGAGCAACTTCAGCAGCTTCACATTTACCTTCAGCCTGATGAGCAGGATCCTGAGCTGGTAGAAACCGTCGGCTGATTAACCATATTCCTGGAAGCTGAATCCACTTTGACTGAGTTCACATTACATCTAAAATTATAACCTCATCCCATCTATCAGAACTTTTATTTCTCTCATTTGATTTATTTAGAAAACATTTATTTTGTTTGATAAAAGAAAAAAGAAAAGAGTTTCTATATTAAATAAATATATATTTTCAGCAGTTAATTAAAGCAGGTGCCGCCTTTTAATTAAAGGAGAAAAACAGTTGTTAACATATTCGCTGAGCTTTCACTTTGCACTTGCAGTAATTCCCGGGAGAGTTGGATATAAAAAAAGAAAGTGCTGTTTCTGGCCTTTAGTAGATTTATTACAATATGCAAAACAAAAACAGTGAAAGCACCAATCGTAACCAACCAAAGCAGGTTGTTCATGTCATAGAAATCTGATGGGAGAACACAAATTATGCTTCACTGTTTTTCTGCAACATGGCGTATCTTACTGTTCATGTTTATGTTTAAAAATCAGAAAAAGATGTTGAAGCTGGATGTAATGAAATCCTGACAGGGTCATTTTATATTACGTACATTTTAAAACAAGACTTGATGATTGCATCACAAACAAATGATGCCATTGTCTCAGAAGTTGGGAAAGTTAAACAGATTAAGGCAGCGGGAGAAAACTTCTGTGACACGTTTGTCTAAGTAAATAGGTTTTTTTAAAGAGCAACTGACATGAAATTCAGACCGGATGCAGAGTAATCCACCCCAACAAAGTCTCATTGCTCAGGTAGGATTTGGACATTTTCTCCCCTGTGGACTGGCTCTGAATCCTGCAGGTTCTGGGAGGTTCTGTTACAGGATGTTATACACGATCGCATCCAAAAGGTTCAGGCTTTGTCTCTTTACCAGACTACGTTCTCTTACTCGCTTTAGTTGGTTTTCCTTCAGCAGTGGAGTCTTGTGCAGTACATGGGCTGTGCATTAGTTATTGTTTCGATTGAAAAATTGTTTTTGCTAATCTTGAATCTTTGTAAAGTTCTTCATAAGTGATCATAGTTCTTAAGTGTTTGGATTGATATTTGACTACTTCATCAGAAGTATTGTGAGGAACACCTGGTCAGTTAAAGATAAAGTTGTTTAATTTCTATTTATTGATTATCAGCCCAACAATGTTCAATAGAACAATCAGGAGTTAGAAATACATCTATAAGCATTCAATTTAGTTCAATTCAAGTTTACTTTATTACCCCAAAGGTGAATTTAATGTTGCAGTAACTCATAGGGTTGTGTTTTGTAACAAGAAAACAAAGGTTTAAGAGAGTTGTTTTGTTTTTAGTTTGTTTGTTTTACAGTTAAAAGATAATTCTCGATCCAGTTAAAGTCGTACGGAAATCATATTTAATTATCAAATCATTCTGGATTAAACATGTATTATAAATGTACTCTTATCACGATATTGTCCCAAAAGTTTGAAAATTTCTATTTTAAAAAAAAATCCTGTCTTAAAATGTGTTTTTTTCCATTATCTTCTGCAGGCCAGTGGGTTATACCTCAGCCTGAACACCTAAATTCGGCCAATCATATATCAACAGTCATCTGTCAATCAAATTTTTTCATCATAGCATCTTGATTCATATGTTGCAGCTAATATACGCACCGGTTGAAATAAGACATAGGAATAATTTTCTTTCCCATTGAGTTCCGTCCCAGTGTTCACGGGGATGGACGTCTGTGTCTTCAGCAGGCGTAGAGCTAACAGAACTGGCAGCGTTGCGAGGCAAGGGCTCAAACATGTACGGCTGGAAGCCTTCTACACCAAACCAAGCTTCTGCTGCCCTGGCGTCCTCTTCCACAACATCTTCATCCCGCTTTCCTCCTCTAAATAAAAAATGTATGATGGAGGAGACTCATCCACGACCTCCGACACTAAACTCTCCTCCTCTTGCATGTTTCCTCTGTCCATAGCGTTTCTTGACTGTGTCGTTTCTAAGTCACCAATTTAGGGCTACATGGTCCCAATGGAATTTCCTATTGGGAACCTACTAGCACTAAGTTGCTAACTGGTTAGCAAGATGCTTCAGAGGAACCGGCCACAACTAAACTTGCTTGCGAAGCTTCCGCCACAACAATCCCGCCCCCTTGATAATCCACCAATCACTTTCACTTTATTCACTCGTGTAAAGCTGTGCACCACTCGGAACTGCAACCGTTGGATTGGCCGCTTCCCTACGACTTTAAAACTAAACCATCTGGTATAAATGTAACTATAACATAAGCAGCAGGGCTGGTTTATCTGTGCCATCTTTTTCTCCTGATCTTCTTAATGTTTTGAATACTTCTGCCCTGCTCCATTCATTTCATTGCACAAATCTTATTGTACGGCTTAACTTGTTCCGATGTGTCTATATGTAGAGGTTTTGTTTGGTTGTTTCCAGTTTCTGGTTTGAATTTAATGTCAACAGCCTCTTTGGTTTATAGCCACTGAGAGGCTTCGTTTTTACATTTTCTCAGCTTTATTTTTGCTTTCTTTTCTAAATAATGCTTGAGCCCAGCTGAGAGGGAAGGAGACAGGGTCTGCATTGATTTTTCAGCATCCAATATGAATTAAAGTTTGATTTGCATCACTTATACCCACATTACATAGCTGCACATTTCAGTGGCGTAGGAAAAACTGTTTAAGATAAAGGCGCCATTGTCACCTCATCACACTATAATGCCATTCCAACTTTGACAAGTCCGAAAGTTTAGCATCATAAATGTCACAAGTTGAAGCTGTGAAACAAGCAGCAAATGCAGAGCCTTGCTAAAGTATTTGCTCCCCTTGAACCTTTTGCCACATAACAGGCTTTAAAAATAAAAAAAATTATATAAAATTGTCATTCTTTATGAAAAATCACCAAGTGGAACACATTCATGAACAGGAATGAAATGTTTTGGATATTTTAAAGTTTTGTAACAAATAAAAACTGAAGAGTGCGGCTTGCAAAATGAATCGACCCCTTTTACTTTCAGTGCAGCAAACTCTCCCCAGAAGTTCAGTGAGGATCTCTGAATGATCCAATGTTGACCCTAAATGACTGATGATGATAAATAAAATCCTCCAGTGTGGAATCCAGTCTCTGTATAAATGCTCTGTGATCGTCTCAGAGGTGTGTTTAAAGCACAGAGAGCACCATGAAGAACAAGGAACCCCCCCAGGCAGCTCTGAGATACCTTTGTAGAGAAGTTTAAAGCCAGATTTGGATCCAAAAGGATTTCCCAAGCTTTAAACATCCCAAGGAGCCCTGAATGAATGATAATATTGAAATAGAAGGAGAATCAGACCACTGTGTTTCTACAAAGACCAGCCGTCCCTTTAAACTTTCAGCTCAATCAAGGAGAAGACTGATCAGAGATGCAGCAAAGAGCCCCATGATCACTCTGGATGAACTGCAGAGATCTACAGCTGAGGGGGGAGACTCTGTCTATGGGATAACTATCAGTTGTTCACTGCACACATCTGGCCTTTATGGAAATAAGGCATTTCTTAAAGATATCCATAAAAAGTATTGTTTAAAGTTTGCCACAAGCTGCCTGGGAGACACAGCAAACAAGTAGAAGAAAGAGCTCTGGTTAGAGGAAACCAAAATATAACTTTTGGCAACAATGCAAAGCATTATGTTTGACGTAAAAAGAAGCACAGCTCATCACCCTGAACACACCATCCCCACTGATAAACATGGTGGTGGCAGCATCATGGTTTGGGCCTGCTTTTCTTCAGCAGGGAAGATGGTTATAGTTGATGGGAAGATGGATGGAGCCAAATAGAGGAGCATTCTGTAAGAAAACCTGCTGGAGTCTGAAGAAGACCTGAGACTGGGATGGAGATTTATCTCCTAAAGAGACGATGATCCAAAACAGAAAATAAAATCTATAATAGAATGGTTCATAAATAACAAGTCCAGGTGTTAGAAGGGCCTAGTCAAAGTCGAGACCTGAATCTGTGGAAAGAACTGAAAACCGCTGTTGATAAACGCTCTCCATCCAACCTCACTGAGCTCCAGCTGTTTGCAGGAACAAAGGGCAAAAATTCACTCTTGATGTTCAAAATTGATAGAGACAAACCCCAAGAGACCTGCAACTGTAAGTGCAGAAAAAAGTGGAGCTGCAATTTATTAACTGAAGACGGCTGATTGATGGATCTATTTTTTATTTGTAAAAAACATTAAATTATCCAATAAATTTCGTTCTGAATTAAGCTGCAATCTCCTTCAATCACCAAATCAGCACCATACAAGTGTAATCATATTTTTTCAAACTTACTCTCACACCCCCTCTTTGGGAACCACTAATCGAATGAGACAAACCTTGTTCTGAGACAGTTTGACGATTAATTCCTGTGTCATTCCTCCAGTCCTAAATTATGAATAATAAGAGTGCTGCACAGCAAATCGTAAACTTATTGACATTGCTTTATTGTTCCATCAATATGCATGCTGCATATCTTTAATTAAGTAAAAAAAAGTTTTGTTGGGGTAGCTGGTGGTGAAGTGATGTAAAAGCCATGTTTTGGAGACAGAATTATCTAATTTTATTTTATTTTGCAGTAGATGGATAGCAACCCCAGTTATCAACAGTCTTTGTTTCTTTCCAAAACAGAAAGAAATGATGAACATTTATTAATTGCTAATCACATCTTCATTGCTCAATACACCCATATTAGTGTATAGTGCATATTTTAATATCATGCAGCCATGAATCCCACAGTGTGACATGCACTGTGAGTTGCTATGACTTCCTACGCCATTTAACTGAAAAACAGATACTCAGGTGTGTGACTGAGTTCAAACCTTAGACTGAAAAACAAGCCATAGTGTCCTCAGAGTGGACAAAATTCTAGTTTTGGACATTTTGGGAGCACTATTTATAAAAATAGCTCTACCTACATGTCCATTTGAATGATTGTTTTACGTCTGCTCTAAAGTTGTTTTTGTTTTACTATTCATAATGAAATCATTCTAAATTTGTAAAGCTGTTATGGCAATTAAGCTTTATTTTATTATCAGGTTTATGGTGTAAAATGCAGTATTTAACTGGCATTAATCAGATTCGATCATCTTTGCTAAAAGATTGAGCACGTACCAAACGTAGCTGTGAGCTGTTAGACATCAGGGGTCTCATTTAAACAGGAAGAC